CCTGAACCTCTAGTAAGTAAAAAACATTTAAGTACGTGCGGTTAACTAAACGACAAATGTACTATAATTTTTAGTTCGGATTTTTACACCAAACAGAAAAAAGAAAATTAGAAGTTTTTGGTAAAAAAAAAGAAAAAGTCCAACCGAGCACGAAACATGTTGAAGGTAATCACAATAATTATTGTATTCAAATAAATTCAATTCAACTTATAGTTTATAAACAAATAGTTGTATTAACGTGATATTTGAAAACGTCTAAGGAACTTGGTCAAGCGATACAGAAAGTTCAGATTTCGATGGTTTCGAGTCGGAACCAGAGGAAGAACATGATAAAACGTTTGAATCGTACGAGGAAGATGTTCCAGAAGTAGCAAACTTGGATAGGATTATTGAAGAACTAAAAACGAAAAAAGACTATACATTTATGTATTTAGTTTACGCTGTCAGTAGAAAATCCAAATACTTCACACCATATAGTTTCAAAGTGGTGACGTACAAAAACATCAACAAAAAGTGTTTTTTTACATTGAGTAACGAAGGCATGATGTACAATATGCGAAACGCAGTGAGGTTTACGCCGTTTACAAAATTTGAAGAGGAATATAGGTGTTATCGAAAAATTATAAAGGTGTCTTCATTGTTTATCGATTATAAATAATATGCATTATTTGATTGATTTTATAGTATACAGATAATTTACTATACATGTTCATTATATCGCTTAACATACGTTTAAGAAAGTTTTTTACACTCGTGACAGTACTCCGCGTTACTCAGTCAAATACATGATATAACCAATACATATAATATATTTGTATGTTATAAAACCAATGCTACAACTTCATTTTTAAATCGGACTTTAAAATAGAGGAAGTAAAATAAGAAACAAATAATTGATCATTATAATAACTGTCACGTATTTTTGCATGTAACCATGTTTTTTTTAAATTGTTTTGTTAGTTAGAGACATTCAGCAAGTTTCTATTGTATAAGTGTTTAAGCATTTGGCACAAAAAAATCTCATGGAACAAGTTCCATTGGGCAAGAGAAAATGTTCAAGAGCCATTAGCACTATTTTACTTATTTGGACCTCTAAGAGATGCATATTTAAAAACTACTGAAGCTATTTATAGTACAGGCAACCTAATAATGTACGATGGTTCTTCCCCTGAACTAAATACATTGCAAGATTTTAAAGAAATACAGGTGTGTAGAAAATTAACACAAATGCATTATTTCCTTATCTAACTAATTATGATTGTTAACCAATTTAAAAATGTATTAATAATTGTAAAGGATAAAAATATAACCTATGCTGTAAATATCTTAAAAGATTTGCGTCAATCAATTAAGTACTGGGTGTCGAGTGCTTGTATAAAATCTTTAGACATTTCTGGGTTTACCTGGGACGATTCTAATTATTTGATGGAGAAATTTAACGAAGATGCAACTAAAAAACGCTATCAAGACACCAATTACAGTATGCCATTCATGAAGCAAAGGGAAAAAATTAAATATTGCCGGAGGATTTGTAGATTTATAATGTTAATTGACCTTATTTTACAAGCTCATATACATAAAATTATTCAAAATCAAATTATAACATTCGAGCGTGACGTACGCAAACATTTTCAATATTTACCTGAAGCCGATTTATTGAACGGTGATAATGTCGAAACTATCCTAGAGCTACCAAGATCCTCGGATGATCCAAAAGTAAAAAATTCTGTTTTTTTAATTAATACCATGTTATTATACTTTAATTATACACATTTACTTTATAGTTTATACTTTATATTTGTATTGATTTTTATTAGATGCCTTTGTTTGTTATTGAAGCTTCTATGACTATATCTTCTATTGAGCTGAACACTAAGTCAAACGAGTTTATAACATACATACAATCTTTGATAGAAAGTTGGAAATGGACAATGGTCAACGAGATGCCTTCACTTTTATCGGACGAGGAATTTAATCATTTTACACAGTAATCTTGTTTTGACAGTCTACACATTTGTGGAACTTCCTATATTTTAATGTATGTTATAAGGCCAATGGTTTGTGGAAAAGTCAAAGATAGAATTATTGGTTATGGACCATCGTTGGAATTTTTGTTTAGCATTGATACATTATACAGAAACTTCGGGGAAACAATCGTTGAATATTTTAATAGTGGCTACATGGCAATTTTTACTTATTTAAAACGATTAGAGTATTTGTGGTTGATGTACAGAGAGAACGAAGAATTGGACAGAGAAACGATCATTAACGAGTCTAGTAAAGTGTTTTGTCGAGACTAAAACAAAACAAGTTTTTTTTAAATTAAATGTTAACAGGTATTATGAATTTTCGACATATGTTAGAAAAGTACAGACAGCAATTGGTCGAAATAGAAAAATTAGTGTCTTCACAAATGTTAGGCGTGTTTCTTATAAAATTTGATTCGTTAAAAGAAGTCATGAGAGCTTCAAGCAGAGAGTTGTTACTACTTGTTGAAAAAACAATTGCTGAATACTAATATATATATAAATGTTATACAAATATTGCTTTATTATACATTATTATTGTATTTAAGGTTTTTTATAAAGTATTAATATAATAAGATTTATTTATTAAATTACGGAGAATAAAATGACAATAATCAAATAAACTAAATTCGTTCACTTTTTGAGGAATTTATTTTTTGCAAGATTATTTATGTAACTTCTTTATATCGAAGTAGAATATTTTTATTTTACAAATGTTTTTTATTTCATACTACAGGGTGCTCAAAAAATTCGAAAACGGGAAATTCGTAGAGCCATTATTGATTTGTTCAGATTTTGGTTGGTGTAACATAACGCACATTTTAAGCCTAAATGCAAATTTAAACTTAATGTAGTTTACGCATGCGCACTATCAACTTTTAATTGAATTTAAATGGGAACCCTGTAACGCTTGACCCTCTGTTGGGTTCAAGGGTTTACCTTCCTTCGCTCTGAAGGGGAAAAGGTTTATAATGTTAATTTTAAATAAATGCAAACGTTTGGTAAAGTAATAATTGGTTTTATTGAATGGTAACGTAGATTTCTTCTTATAGAATAATAATAATAATAATGACAATAACGATGATGAGATGGAAATATGTAGGGTGTAAGTATGGATCGGGGATGAATTCACGATCGGACCGGCGTCTAGATCGTGATTAAAAAATATAGTAGCTTAAGGCTAAGGAGCTGAGGATAATATTACTTATACTCAATTCTGGCTAGGACGACAGTGTGCGGCAGAGGGGTTACGTATGCTAGACGGTGCGGCTAGTGGGGAGATGGACGGCAGGCGGTGCACTTTCCAACGACGGTGACGGGGCGACGGCGGCTAGTTCGGAAGGTGTATCGACGGTGAGAATTGGCAGCTGGGCTCAACTGGTAGACGGTGCGGCTAGTGGGGAGATGAGCGGCAGGCGGTACAACGACGGCGGTGGCGAGCGCGACTGGTGTAGTAGCGGTGGGGGTTGGCAGCTGGACGCGGCTCCTCCTCATCCTGGCGACGTATGGCTCGGAAGACCGGGGGGACGTTATCGGCTAACTATTACCATTAAATGGTTGGCTAAACCGATTGATGCTTAGCACTGTGCCGTCCGCTTATATATATTTAGTCATGCCCATATAGTCAATATTAGCCACTTTACATATGATTGTTAATCGTGTGTCGACTTGTGGCTAGTGCAATGGGCGTTTAAATATGGTCGACACACTTCTAACGTATTTTATTAATTTACTTAGCTATACACTACCCTATTCGATATTTATGCCCTCATTAGTGTATCGCTTCGAATACAGCGATGGGCTGCGAGCTCCCTATCGGCACCTACAATTGATCCGTTCTATGGGGCGAGTAGTCGTCCGTCTTTTTAATGTCTTGGTAGCCGCGAGATTGCGGGGCGTAAGTGTTACAACCCCTTGTCAGCGAATGCAGTTGGTGGCACTGGTGGCGGCGGGTCGGCATGATGGCTGATCGAGATCCTAACAAGTCAGTAAACAACAGTCAAACCAGAGTACTACAGCACGTTGTTTTTATGTTGTATTTTTGTGCCTTTGTATTATTCTTTTTACAAATTGTATTTTTATTTTATGTTGTAAATAATAAACTATTTATTACAAGAGAACAACAGATACGGTGAGTTAATTATTAGTTTTATTTAATATGAGCAATCTTTGAATTTAATCCATAACGAATACTTTGTTATTTACTAATGTTGAGTTGTCAACTCATCGAAATGGCTAAATAATAAATTATATTGTGTACAATTGACCGTCGCCCATCGACTAGCAACTAGACCGCGGGACTCGGACCGTCGAACAACGGGAAATTGAACGCACTCTACCGCCGCCGCAGGCCCCTGACGACCATCATATAACTGACGTTTATCAGAGTTAACTGTTATCTCTAGAACCAAACGGCAATAATTCAAATGATCAAAAAATCAACCGTGTTAAAATATATTATATTTTCTTAAATATTACAAATTTGTACGATACATTTTTAATGACAAAAAACCAACTAGTTCATATGACGACAACGATAATTATTGGTAAATAAAATTTACTTTCGTTTCTTATTAATATTAAATGAATATTTATATTAGAATTATTTTTAAATTCATAATTCAAAACTCTTATTTTCACATATTATAAACATGCAATGTTTAATTCGTTGACCGCCATGAGATCTAAAGTGAGATCTCACAAAGTTTGTCCTTACCGCCAAGGTTTTTTTTTCTAAGTTTACTCAAAGCATTTTTGAAAAAAAATTTTCTCAGATTTCTTTAAAAATTTGTAATTATTAATAAAAAATGGTTTTTAATACTTTTTTTTATAGTCAATTAAAATCAATTAGAGCTGAGATTTCGCATTAGATCTCGTGGCCGTCAAAGATTACCATTATATGATATCTCAGAATAAATCTCAACAAATTTTTTATTTTTAAATCAAAAAATTATTTTAAATTTATGTTAGTTTTTAAAATTGAATTTCAGTTCCACCCAGAAGTGTATCAAAAAAATCAGTATTTATGCCGGTGTTTGAATTATTATGATCAAAAATATAGTGGTCCATAACATTTTCATCTACCCTCCACTGACGATAAGTAAAATTAGTATTTGTTTGAATTCTTGGGCGCCCTGGACCACAACCAACTTCTTCCGTGATACCGTAGGACGACGCACTTACATGATGGTGCGAATAAGTTAAGATAGTGTTTCACACTATTTAAATTATAAAAATAATAAGTTGTCATTTGTTTTTATAAAATAAACAACATAAGTGGTATAATATTTTTCTAATACCAAAATTTAGATCACCATCCATCAGGGCATGTATTTCTGATAATTCATCATCTATAATATAGTTTAAAATGAAATTTAAGCTAAACAAAAATGTAATTAAAATAAAGTAACAGTGTAAATTTTACTCGTAGACATAACTTCAACATCTCCCCAGTTTGGATTGTCATCCGTGTCATCGTATGAAGAATATTCAAATGATGAATTTAAAATTTGATTTATATCGTTAGTGTCCATTATATTTTATTTTGTATACAAATAATAGTATAATATAGAAGTTGTAACACAGTACATATTTTAACAAAAGTTATTCTATTTTATTATCTCACTACGTTATTTCCAAAAAAGATATGCACAAGGTATCAATGATAAGATTATCATGGCTTACATAAATTTCAAACCATCGTAAATAAACATGGGATTATCTAATCTGTTTTTAAATTTTCACTTAGTTAAAATAGATTTAACCAGACCGCTTGATATCCAACCTGTTAATTTCTGATTTGATAATTTTATTATATACATATTAGTGGAATTGGAAATAGCCTCATTAATTTTCCCATTAAATATGTCCATAGCTACTTCTATATCATTTAAATTTTCACAACTTGACCATTCTGAAGGAAATATTAACATACATAAATCAGTCATATTATAGCTTATTAAACGTTTTGTGGGCAAAAAGAGCTTTAATAGCAGATCTCGATGGGAATGAGATAAGAGCATATACTTTCAAATATGATAAGATGCTGCAACTTGCAATTGTATCTATTTATTTTATAATATGTATTATTTCTATTTTTTTTTTATAATATAAGAAAAGTATACATTTCTTAATAAATGGAATGTAAACAGAATAAAATAAAGAAAAGTCATAATATCACTTCTATAAGAAACAAATCCTAATTGATAATAATTGTACAAAGACAAAATCGAGGTAAAAGACAATTAGCCAAGTCTTTGCCAGGCTTGAACAAAAATATTTTATTACTTTTCACTAGTATTTTACAACATCACTTTACACATTTAATTCTACTTATGTTTGGAAATGTGCAATACCAAAAACTTCCAAAAACTCTTATAAACCTATGGAACTATAAAAATATAATTTTAAAAGATCTAAATGAAATACCGATATACCTATGTAGGTATTCTAATTTCTAATAGATTTTTATACTATCTGATTATCAGAGTATTAATTCAAATAATTTTAAAAAAGCTTTATGTCAATATTGTCCACCGTAAAACGGCAGAACTTAAATACAAAAATTAATTAACTACCACAGAACGCAAAATCCTGAAACAGAAAAATAAATTATACACGAGGGCACCATACCTAATTTATAAAGGATGGAACAGTACAATCGTTTGAAGAAGTATTGCAGTATTTAAATTAAGATCGTTGTACCATATCAAGGGTAGAATAACATTTATGTGTTGAGTATTTGATACGGTCGCATGTGTACTTATTGTATTTTAATGTAATTATAAAGTGTGATTAAAGGAAAGCATGTTTTTTTTTTTTTTGGTTCTACTTCCTTAAGAAATTTAATTTAAATAATAGAATCATGAAGAGACTTAAATACAAATTTTTGAAGATGTAGTAATTATAAGAAAAAATGAAACAATAAATAACAACACAATTTTGTTTAGACGTGTCTTAAAAAGATAAATAAAATCCTCAAGCTGTTATGTACTAAAATATTCAGGATACTTTTGTGTGGTATTAAAACTTTAAGTTCATCGTAAAGACTTGGTTAAGACTTAGTTAAGTAAATGGCCATATTAAATGAATAAGTACATAGATTAATAAAATATAGGCTATGCAATCTTCTCACAAATATGGACATTTTCAAATCAAGAGATAATTGTAAATTCGCAAATTTATACTGACCAAAAATTGAATCATATTTTTAAATCATACGAATAACTAGGTATTACCATTGATTATATATTGTATAGAGAAACAATGTTAACGAATTTTGGTTGCACGTGATAAAGTTGCCGCTTCTACGGATAGTGCGTGCAATATTTCGAAAAACTAATAAATTATTAAATTGTCAATATTTTAGCCTTTGACGGCTGGCGATTGTGTGTGTACACGTACAGTCTGTCTATCGGTGACTAAGCGTAGTGGGGGTCGCACACCTGCAACCGATTGACGACGGTGGCCAATGCAGAACTGTGGCCGATGGGCACGAGACGGTAGGTTGTATCATCATGCCCGCCACTTGCCCGTTTAGCGTTGTGCCAATAATTAGTAATGCATTTTATTCGTAAAAATTGATGCCAAATCGGGTAAAATGAGACGTTGTCATATTGTGATCTCTTTCTAATTTATTAAAAAAATTTTGAATTGACTAGGACTGCGGCTTCAACTCAGCGCGTCAGCGTACTAAAAGGTTAATAATGTACGGCGTTTAAAACGTGGCATAGGTAACTCTTTGCACTTCGAATCCAAATGGCATGTCTACTGTAAACGAATAGAATTTTTTTTTTATTATTTTCATCTTTATTTATTAGAGTTATGGTAGATAAAAAAAATGCAGCATTACAAGTCCCTTTAATTACCCGATTTTACAAAAAAATAAACAATTTCTTATTACTTACATGTATAAAATGAATGTCGATTGTTTTACACCTATATTTTTTAATGTAACTTTTTACTGACGTTTATGATGAAATTCTTTTATACTTAGTGATTTTTTTAAACTGATCCACTGAACATAGAGTTTAATGATTCGTTTTTTAACAATTTTTTTCTGTAGTATTTTTATACAGTGTGATCTTAATCTTCTACAAGTTTTCATATTTTTACATTTCCTCTAAATTAGTTATTGTTATATTAAACCTGGAAAATTAAATGTTAACGATAATTAGTATTTAACTACTCAATCATACTCACTAAACGCAATAAGACATAATGATCATTTATTATTGTTTTTCAAAGTAAAATAATATTACTAAAATAAATTTAAAAATATCTATTTCTAACAAAAAACAAATAGTTATGTTGTAAAATTTTTAATTTTGGATTTGGCGCTGGTTATTTGTTTGAAATAGCACTGCTCCACTTGCATTCTTTATGTAATCGTACAGTAAATAATAACTTGATTACATATGTTACGTGTACCTTACACCCAAAATGGATCATGTCAAAATCAAGCTGCTTAGTTGCCTTTTCCATTAACGTGGATAAAATATTTTTTTCATGTTTTATAAAATCGAAGTATTTTTTGAAAATATTTAAACATACGGTTGTCAGATCGATTAAAACGTCTGAAGGTGCCGTTAATCCTGAATTTTCGGAAAAAGTAACATGATCAAATTTTATGCATCAGAAGTAGTTGATTAGGATCGTTCAAAGTCCCATTTGCGTTAACTAGTTTTTGGTAACACGATTCACATTGAAACCGTTTTTTACAACGCATGGCTAAGCAGCCAGCACAATAAACTATAGAGCATGACTCTAAAGTGTTGACTTCTATAGTTTCTGGAATATCTGACTATGAACTTGTAGAATCATTTAAATAATAATTTAGGTGCTCATTCAAAGGGTTATCCGCGATTTCGTAATAACCATTTTGATTTTCAACTTCGGGAGTTTCTGATAAAATGCTTACATTTAAAAAATTGTCATCATCATGCTCACAGTTACAACTATCAGATGAACAATTTAATAGACTGAACGAACAGATATTAGCGAAACCGCACCTAAAAGCTTTTGCCGATGGATTTTTGTTGTAACCGCATTTTTGACGAAAAATTGAAAACAAGTTTTCAATAGGGTCTTGGCATAACCTATTAGTAAGTAAAAAAAAGTTTATGGCTATTTTTACTTAAATCAGGTTTTTCAAAATAAAATAAACTTAATATTGCGTTTAATCTCCATACAAAACCACTGAAACATGGAGGGCGATCATCATTTTCTTTTTTTAAACTTCGTTTTACCGCATTTTTGAATGTCGAAATTGATTTTTCAATTAAACTAATACCGTTCGTATTTGATTCGCAAAGTGGGCGTTTGTTAGGGATTTTATCGAATAAAAATGTACTTAATAAGTACGTCAAATAAATTGAATTGGGAATTTCGAAAAGGGCTCATCGGAAAATTAAAATTTTTCAGGAAACTCAAAAAACTGATTTTCTTTTTAATTTTGTTTTATATTGTACCAATTTTTTTTCTAAAATTACACACTATTATTTAATGTTACGCCCATGTAAAAATAATATTCTTGAAGTAAAATTTTATCGGAAAATTGATTCGTTAAGTTTTCCGAGATGAGTCCTTTTCGAAATTTGTACGAGGACTAAAGTGATTTAAAATCGAAAATACCCATGTTTTGACATAAAATTATACAAAAAATATTTCTTATACATGTCCTTTTATTTTTCTGAATTTTATAAATAAACAGAAAATATAATAAGTAGAAAACTATCTCCTCAACATGAAAAAAAAAAGATAAAGTTTTCATGTACTTTAAAATTCTTCTTCGACGTCTAGCTGTGATGATACATCTGTCGGCCACGGCAGAATGCTTTCATAGAAATTTATGTTATCTTCTGGTATGTATTGCTTTAACTTCCGTAGATCGTTCATTTTTAATATATTAATCGGAAGTTTAGAGAAGTAGCAAGGAAATGCTTCATAGTAGGGATGCTTGCACAACTACCTTTTGTTTTTGATAGGATAAAAGTTTCATTACTTATTTCATTGTCAATGAAGGGACGACACAAGACTTCACCATTTTTTATTGCTGTTCAAATCCATTTTCTCTGTATTTTTCAAGAAATTCAATAAGTTCTTTTAGCATGTTAGTTGAAACTCGACTCCGTCTTCAGTATCGCGTTTGCTTCTAATAGACTAGAAACATGAGTAACAATGAAACTCAAGTTTTATCAAAATAGCTTCAGTTTTATTTTCCTGAACTGAACAGATACTGGTGGTTTGAATGGAAACCAATTTAAAATCGATAATTTAAAATGTTTAAATATAACAGAAAGCATAATTCCGGGTAACGTATTCATAAAAAGATACAAATCATACTACAATCCACCCTTCATAAATTTTAAGCTTTAGTAAATTAAAAATTACTGACTCAAAACTAGACCAGTCAACATTGTCAGCAAATTATTCTTAATTTTAACCGAGTTGCTGCAAAAGAGCCATTACTCTTTTTAGTTTTTTACTGGATGTTCCACAAAAATTTACTAGCTAAAACTAACTTTACTAGTTATTTATAAAATTAAGACTTTAAACATTGAGACACTTTACTTTCAAAATTATTCATTAAATTACAGACTACAAAATTCTGAAATCCTACAATATCTGATCATTAACAACAATGTTATTTCATCCTTGCTATAAGTCAAGCTAAGAAAAAACTAAACATAAATTTGGCTTTAATTATTATTTTTTTTTAACAGTATAATCAAACAGTTATATTTCCAAAAATAATTAACCGCATTAGAGAACGAAAACTTTGAGAAAGATTACAAATTAGGTTTGTTTTGAGAAATATATGAAAGTAAAAGTTAACTGTTTTATCCTGATAAATAATTATGTTAAAAAAAGTGTTTGTATAATACATTTTGCTAAGAAAAATATACATAACTACGATATCATAGTATCAAACAACTATGTCAATATTAAGTGCTACTTAATGTGTATATAACTTTTTAGAAAATGACAAAAAATTATTATTGACAATGTCAGTTCACAATTCAAAAGAAGAAAGTCGACATGCAGAAGAGCCGGCAGCGGTGGAATTTGAAGAAAAGAAGAGCCTCAAGTTTCTACTATACTTTCTTTTTACTTAATGCTGTTATAGTTCTTATAGCAATTATAATTTTTTATAGGGTACGTAATAATTTAGTGACTAAGCTATTGAAGGAAGTAAACGAATCTCAAAAATATTTTGATACCATTCCGACTTCAGCTGAAGAATATGTAGAATATAAAAAAAAATTAGAAAAATGCACAAAAAGAGTTAGTAGATATTTTAATAATTGAATGGCCTATAATAATGAGAAATTAAATTGTAGCTGGAAGAGTTGGACAACCATTTGAGTTATTTAAGAGACCTATACGACTTGGCAGATGAATTCCAAGTGCCAATACCAGACGAGGTCATGGAAAATTATTACGTAAGAAACTGCAGTCTAGAATGTAGAGAGTTAATTAAATTGAAAAAAATATTTTAAAATGTTATTTAGAGTTTTACGGATGCATTAAGCGTACTACAGGCTACTATTGAACGTATTAACAGTGAACAAGCGTATCTTACAGATGAGTTTTGTAAAAAAATAGATATTAATATATTAAATCTATTTCACGAAGTTGATAAAATTAATAGCGAAGTCTACGTAATACCTTAATGACTAGTTTTATTGTAAAATAAACATTACAAGGGTAACTCTTTTCTTAAATCAGGAACCATGGCTAACAGACGTTCAGTCGGATAGTAATGATGTTAAAGCGTTTTTAAGTGATCTGAATGATCGCTTAACTGCATGTCAAGCGAAAGCAAATAAATACAAGGCCTACCAACGTTTTTTTCGGGTGGAAGTAACAAAATTTGATATTCTAGACGAGGCAAGCGAAGCTGTACGACTTAGAACATTATTATGGGACTGTATAGATGACTGGGATAGAACTATGCTTATTTGGGAAGAAGACAACTTTCATAACTTAGACGTAGAACAAATGAACACCTTTCTAGCTGTTAATTTGAAATATGTAATGCAATTTAAAAAAGGCCTGCCCGATTGCGAACTCATTAACATAATAAAGGAAAAAGTGCAAGCTTTCAAAGACATAATGCCAACAATTGTTACTTTAAGAAATCCAGATCTGAGAAATCAACATTGGTACAAAATTGAACAAATACTCGGAGTAAAACTGCCTCAAAATCAACCACTAACATTAGTAATGCTTAAAGAATTTGAAGCATTTAAATTTGGTTCTTTACTCGCGGAAGTGTCTGGACAAGCCAGCTCTGAAGCTACATTAGAAGCGTTATTAAAAAAAGTGGAAGATTCTTGGAAAGGATTAGATTTAATTGTGCTTCCGTACAAAGATTATAATGATATGTACATACTTGGCTCGTTAGAAGACATTCAGTTAGTAATGGAAGAAGTCAATATAAATCTTAATACAATTATAACATCCAAACACGTGGGAATGATAAAGTCAAGAGTTATAGAATGGATTAAATCTATGGAGATGATGGCTAATGTTCTAGTATGTAGTAAAAATTTCAGTCATATCCGTCTATAAGTCTATGTATTTGAAATTATTTATTATTTAGGCTGAATGGACCTCATGTCAAACAAACTGGATTTACTTAGAGTCCATATTTGCTGCGCCAGATATTCAAAGGCAGCTCCCCAATGAAACTAAAATGTTTAACCAAGTAAATCGTTCGTGGAGGAATATCATGAAAAATGCATCGAAAAATCCAACGGCCCTAACCACGTGCACTGACCAGAAACTTTTAAATGCTTTTAAGAAAAACAATCAACTTCTAGAACAAATATTATTATGCTTGGAAGCTTATCTTGAGTCAAAAAGAGTAGTGTTCCCTAGGTTCTATTTTCTGTCCAATGATGAATTAATAGAAATTATCGCTCAAGCTCGAAATCCGAGGGCTGTCCAACCACACATGAGCAAATGTTTTGATGCTATATGGAGAATTCAATTTGAAAATGATAACGAATTAGGAGAACCCATTTTAAAAAATAACGATGATGTGAATAATCCCCCAACTGACATTGTAGCAATGATATCCCCTGAAAAAGAACTCGTTAAGTTTTCGATGGAAGTAAAAGCACGTGGAAATGTTGAATTTTGGCTGTATAGACTGGAAGAAGCAATGGTTGATACATTAAGATCACTTATGATGGTAGCAATAACAGATTTTGACAAAACTCCGAGAAAAAAATGGGTTTTACTCCATGCCGGTCAAGTAATTTACTAAAACTTTATATTAAAAAATAAAAAAAGCTAAATTAAATCAAATTTCCAGCTCGTGCTAGCGGTTTCTCAGATGATGTGGTGCCGTGATATACATGTACTTTTAAGGCCTGGTCCTAACGTTCATAAAAAACTCTTGGCTTTTGAACAAAAATGTTTTAGCGTATGTCTTAAAAAAAAAAAAGATTTCAGATATTAAAAACTATACAGTAATAATATTTGTAGAATTTAAATGAACTAGCGGCTATGGTGCGAGGCGAGTTAACTAGAATCCAACGAGCCGTAGTTGGTGCACTAATAACAATCGACGTTCATGCCAGAGACATTGTAACTTCAATGGTACAAAACAAAGTCAACAGTGATACGAATTTCGAGTGGTTAAAGCGGTTACGATACTACTGGGACGAAATTGACAGTTGTGTCGCTTGTATGGCAAACGCACGTTGGTTATACGCATTTGAGTATTTAGGGTGTTCTGACCGCTTGGTCATAACTCCATTAACAGACAAGTGTTATTTATGTCTGATGGGAGCGCTGCAACTAAATCTTGGAGGAGCTCCAGCTGGGCCCGCTGGCACAGGAAAAACCGAAACGACAAAAGATCTCGCCAAAGCCATGGCGACTCAATGCGTCGTATTTAATTGTTCCGACGGGCTAGATTATAAAGTAATTATATTTTAATTTATGTAATGCATATAATACTTTGCATTTACATTTTAATGAAAGATATTTTTTAATTTTATTAGATGATGGGTAAATTTTTTGCTGGTTTAGCTCAATCCGGTGCTTGGTGTTGTTTTGACGAATTCAATCGTATATATATTGAGGTGCTTTCTGTAATTGCTCAACAGCTGATTACAATTATGAATGCTAAAGTTACAAATTCCAAGCGATTTATATTTGAGGGAAGAGAGATAAAACTTATAAAAACATGCGCAGCTTTCATAACAATGAATCCAGGTTATGCTGGTCGAACTGAACTTCCAGACAATTTACAAGCTCTTTTTCGCCCTATGGCAATGATGGTACCCGATTACGGACTTATAGCCGAGGTCATATTATATTCGGAAGGTTTTGAGTCTTCAAAAATGTTAGCTCAAAAAATGGTGAATATGTATAAACTATGCAGCGAGCAACTTTCCATTCAAGACCATTACGATTTTGGAATGCGGTAGTTTTCTTTAATGGTATACACAAATATAATATTAACTAAGTGACTAAATAACTAACAATTATTTAAAGGGCCGTTAAGAGTGTTCTAGTGATGGCTGGGTCGTTAAAACGAAAAAATCCGACAATAAATGAAAATTTAGTTTTGATAAGAGCGTTAAGAGACAGTAATTTACCGAAATTTCTCAAAGACGACGTAATTTTGTTTCAAGTATGTATTTTCACAACAAAATTAGTTTAAACTTGCATAAATAAATAACCAGTACTTACCTATAACAACAGGGTATTTTAAATGATTTATTCCCTGGTGTCATATTGCCAGAGCAAGATTACGGATTATTTCTGGCCACCGTTAAAAATATTATGGAGCTGGATGGCCTTCAAGTCGAAGAATGTATATTTGTTAAAGTTATACAACTGTTAGAGACAATCATTGTTAGACACGGAATAATGACTGTCGGACCGACTGGGGGAGGAAAAACCACAGTGTTAAAAATACTCGGTAAAACGCTGACGCAGCTATACGAAAATGGTATCACTGGACCGTACTACAAACCCGTGAATACATACACACTTAATCCAAAAGCGATAACTATGGGTGAATTATACGGTGAAGTCAATTTGCTCACGATGGAATGGACGGATGGATTACTTGGGAAATTTGTTAGGAGCGCTGTTCAAAGCACTAATGAAGAGTTTCAATGGGTCGTTTGTGACGGACCTGTGGATGCGGTTTGGATTGAAAACTTAAATACTGTACTTGATGATAATAAAATGCTATGCCTAGCTAATTCCGAGCGCATTAAACTGACGTCTTGGGTATGACTTAGTATTACGGGTTTCCGAAATAACTGTAATAATGATTATTATATTCTAGGTCAGAATGATATTTGAGGTTGGAGATCTATCCCAAGCGTCACCGGCAACGGTAAGTAGGTGCGGAATGGTTTTCGTAGATCCATCAGACCTTGGATGGCTTCCTTATGTGCGTTCTTGGATAAATAGATTAAGTAGTGATGTTATTGACATCAATAATGAGTATAAAACTTATCTTTTGACGCTAATTGAAACTTACGTCGGGACTGGATTTACATTCATCGAAAAAAATTGTTCCTCTCCAATTAAACAGGTTTGCTTAGTTTTTAGTCTACATTAGAAATTACTTTTGAGTATCAACATTTTTTAGGCAAAAATAAGTAAAGCAGTTATGATGTGTACAATCCTCGAATCTCTTTTAACAGACCCACATGGGATTAACAAAATTATGGATAACTCTAAAGTACGCAAATTCATTTGTCAATCTTTAGTCTTCGCTTATGTATGGGGACTAGGAGCAAATTTGGTCGATTCATCACAAACCTTGTTTGAGACGTTCGTTTTTAACCAATTTGAAGACAACTTCAATGCAGCTATTCCACCAGGAACTGAATTAAAGAACGTATACTTAAATATGGAAAAGAAACAATTTGACAGCTGGACAGAAATTGTTCCAGATTTCGTATATAATAAAGAAACTCCATACTTTGAGTTATTAGTGCCCACAGTAGATAGTGTGCGTTACTCTTATGTTAGCCAGAGGTTAGTGCAAATGAACCAGCCTATCATGTTGTCTGGAGTTACAGGTAAGTAACAGTATAACTAAAAAATATTTCGATCAATACAAACTTATAAAATTTCAGGAGTCGGTAAAACTTCTGTAGCAAATTTTGTCATGAACAACCTAGTTAAAACTGGGAAGTGGATTACTGGAATGATAAATTTTTCTGCTCAAACCAATAGTAATAGAACTCAAGAAATTGTAGAATCAAAACTGGAAAAGAAAAAACGAACTGTCTTTGGAGCTCCAGGCAATAAACGAATAGCTTTTTTCATAGATGACGTAAATATGCCTAGACCTGAAATTTATGGTGCTCAACCTCCAATTGAACTACTCCGACAATTGTTGGATTTCGGTGGATTGTATGACAGAGAGAAACTATTTTGGAAAGACATAGAAAATGTGATAGTATGCTCTATATGTGCACCTCCCGGTGGTGGTCGTAATCCATTAACCCCACGATTTACTAGACATTTTTCTATGATGTTCATACCATCAACTAGCGAAAAAGCTATGAAAACTATATTCACATCGATATTAGATGGATTTTTGGAAGAGTTCCCTCCAGTTATAGCTCGTTCTAGTAGTGCTTTGGTACAAGCTAGTGTTGATGTTTATTTGCGTATTATGGAAGACCTTTTACCGACTCCAGCAAAATCACATTACATATTTAATTTAAGAGACTTATCTAAAACGATACAAGGTATTTTACAAGCTGATTTTTCGAGTATACCAGATCTAACGCGTTTATACAGGTAACCTTGTTACCATAATAAATTTGATTTATACAATGAAGTATAATAGTTGCAATATTCATATTCTTTGTTCTAGGCTATGGTATCATGAAACATTACGCGTTTACCACGACCGTTTAGTTTGCCAAGAAGATAAATCATACTTTCACAAACTCTTACAATCAGTTTCTTCACGGTATTTAAGTGGTCCAGTATTAGAGTTTTCTCCGACAGACGAGAATTTCACAAATCCTCCCATGTTAATATTTGGCGATTTTATGAATCCCGTATCTAAGGATTCACGAGTATATGAAGAAATAACCAACATCGAAAAACTAAAAGCTGTGCTTTTGGAAAACTTATTGGACTTCAACATGCTTTACAATAAAGATATGCAACTAATATTTTTCGTTGATGCTATTGAGCACGTAACACGTATTGCGAGAATATTGAGATCGGAAAGAGGAAATGCTTTGTTGGTTGGAGTCAGCGGTATGGGCAAACAGTCTTTGACAAAACTGGCTTCACATTTGAATGAATATAAGTAATGCACTCTTATATAATTAATTTTTTTTTTCTTTCCTCTTTTTTTTAATATCTACATATTATTATTGTATGACCACACTTTATTACCTGATGCGATCAAATTAAACATTATATTACTTCATTGAATTTAGATGCTTTCAAATAGAACTTACAAAGTCGTATGATTATGCATCCTTCCATGAAGATTTGGTTAGTTTATACCATAGAGCTGGTGCAGATTTTGAAGACACCACATTCTTATTCACTGATAGCCAAATTGTACAAGAAGAATTTTTAGAAGACATTAATAATATTTTAAGCTCAGGTAAATTGAAGTTTTTACAGTAATTTTCTGAGTGGTAACATTCTGTTTTACTTGTATTAGGAGAGGTACCAAATTTGTTTAAGCAAGATGACTTAGAAAAAGTTATTGTAGCCTGCCGACAGCCAGCTTTGGAATCGGGAGTTATTGACAGTCGAGATGCAATATTTGTATTTTTTATACAACGAGTACGGTCCAAACTGCATTTAGTTATTTCAATGAGCCCTGTTGGAGATGCATTTAGACGTAGATGCCGTTTGTTTCCATCATTAGTGAATAACTCTACTATTGATTGGTTTGACGATTGGCCTACAGAAGCTCTTTTATCTGTAGCCAAAAAAAGTTTAGAACAATTTCTGGGACCCGAAGATCCTATTTTAGTCGATAACTTATCAAACATTTGTAACTATATGCATGAAATTGTCAGTCAAAGAACAAAACGGTTTTTCGAACAAATGCGAAGGTATTACTATGTAACACCCAGCAGTTATTTGGAACTATTAAAACTTTTTAAAATAATGCATATCATACAAACAAAAAAAATTCAAAGTGATTCAGACAGATTTTCAAATGGTTTACACAAACTTTACGAGACATTCGATATGGTAGGCCAAATGAAAACTAGACTTAAAGGGATGGCTCCGGCATTACTAGAAAAAAATGAAGCAATGCAAAAGTTGATGGAGAACCTTATAAAAGAAAAATCTAGTGTTGATGCTGTACGAAAGGTAGTTCTTACTGAAGAAGCAGCGGCAAAAGTAAAAGCAAAATCAGCTAAAGAAATTGCAGCAGATGCTCAAAAAGATTTGATGTTGGCTATGCCTGCATTAGAAGCGGCTAAAAAAGCATTAGAAGCCCTTAACAAAAATGATATAAATGAGCTGAGAGTGTTTAATAAGCCTCCAAGATTAGTTCAAGTTGTGATGGAAGCTGTATGTTTGTTGCTAAATCAAAAGTAATAATAATAAATATTAATTAATATTGTCATGTCAAAGTAATCGATATATCGATTTTTCAGAAAGGATTGGGCAAATGCTAAAGTAGTTTTGGGAGACTCCAATTTTCTTAAAAAACTTCAAGAATATGACATTGATAATATTTCAGAAAAGATGATTAATCAACTAGTTCCATACATTGAAGATCCAGATTTTAATCCTCAAAAAGTTGCGACTCAGTCCAAAGTCGCAAAATCAATGTGCATGTGGGTTCTTGCAGTTCATAGTTATTCACTGGTGTATCGAGTTGTAGAACCAAAAAGAAAAAAGTTGGTTTATTTTTCAAACAACTATATCCCGTGAAACTTATTATTTGTTTAACTTTTTAGGCAGCGAGAGGCTGAAAATGAGCTATTAGAAGTTTTGAAAGAGCTTGAAACAAAACAGAAAATGCTAGCAGATGTTCAAGCACGTCTTCAAAAGCTTGAAGAAGTATATGATCAAAATATAGCTGAACGAGATAAACTTGAAGCAAATATTAATAGAACACAATTGCGTTTAAAACGTGCTAATTTGCTTGTAGTTGCTTTGAAAGACGAACAACGTAGATGGGAAAAGAATATAAAAGTAAGCATTTTAAGGCGTATAAGTACACGAATATTTATTTTTTAAATAAATAATTTAATACATATCAATTTTATATTTTATTAAGATATTTTCACAACGTTTGCTTACGGTAACTGGAGACATGATAATCGCCGCTGGAAGTATAAACTATTTAGGACCATTTACAGATGAATATCGAAAAGAAATAACTACTATTTGGCTTCAAAAAATAGCTGAATACGAAATCATTCACTCACCAAATTACTCATTGAGTACAGTCCTGATTGACTCGTTTGAACAACGTTCTTGGAATATTTGTGGACTTCCTCGAGATTCTGTATCAACAGATAATGCAATAATAGTTACCAGAGCAAGCCGATGGCCTTTAATGATCGATCCACAGGAACAAGCTAACAGATGGATAAAAGCTCTGGAAGCTCAAAACATGTTAAAGGTGTGCAAAGCTACTAATTCTGGCTTGATTAGTATAATTGTCGGCGCTATAAGAGTAGGATACCCAATTTTAATAGAAGGTCTTGAAGAACACGTCGACCCGACTTTAAGGCCTGTTCTGGAAAATAATACATACATACAAGTCAGTAAAATTATATTTACGTACAACCTAAAATTATATAATAAAATATAAATCTATACAGGGTGGACGATTGCTCATACGAATCGGCAATACAGACATTGAGTACAGCGATGGTTTCAGATTTTATATGACAACTAAACTATCTAATCCACATTATATGCCTGAAATATGTATTCAAGTGACTTTAGTAAATTTTACTGTAACGCCGTCTGGTTTAGAAGACCAATTATTAGTGTAACACCATAAAAAAGTATCATATCAATATATATTATAAAAATATATAATTTTTATAGAGAAATTGTGAGGTTAGAAAGGCCAGATTTAGAAGATAAACGTACAGCAACAATAGTGAGCATAAATGATGATAATAATTTATTAAAAGAAATGGAAGACAAAACTTTAAGAATGTTATACACCACCGAAGGAAACATTTTAGATGACGAAGAGCTTATTGAGACATTAAACAACAGTAAGGTAGGTAAACGATAGTAATTGATACAAACGGTTATTACTTAATTTATTAATTATATTAGGTATGTTAAAAATAAACGATTTTTCTTCATTTAACAATGGTATATTGTAGGAAACTTCTATCATAATCGCTTCTCGACTTATTGATGCAGAAGAAACGGAAATTAGTATAACTACTGCCAGAGAAAAGTATAGACCTGTAGCGAAAAGAGGATCTTGTCTATACTTTGTTGTTTCTCAACTATCTGAAATTGATTCAATGTATCAATTTTCTTTAAATTATTTTAACTCTGTAAGATAAAAATGATGATGCTAGTATCAGTAATTTTCTTTTAATGCACAAATACTTTTTACCTTAGATATTTTGCAATGTTATCAAAAACAGCAATAAATCTCTACGAATTGATGTGAAAATGCCTATCATGATAGATGATATTACTAAAGCCGTTTATACAAATGTATCTAAAGGATTGTTCGAACGTCACAAACTTGTATTTAGTTTCTTGTTGAGCGTCAACATTGATTTACAAATGGGGAAGATTACTCCTGTCAAATGGGATTTCTTGTTACGTGGACCCGTTGGCGCAAAGCCGACAGACAAATTAGGACAAAAACCAAATATACCAACACTGACTGACGATTTGTGGCAGACTATCCTGTATGTGTCTGAAACTTTTCCAAAGTTTAAAAGGCTTCCAGAAAGTTGCAGTGGAACCATTCAAATAAATTTAGGGGAATACGAAGAAATTATACAGTTCGATCCCGACAATAACAACATGATAGTCGATTGGAATTCTGCGTTGTTGCCGTTTGACAAACTTATGATTATAAAAGCACTTAAAGAAGAAAAATTGATATTTGCGATTACTAATTACGTTAGCAGTGAACTTGGGAAATTATTTATTGAAAGTCCGGCTATTTCATATCAACTCTTGTATAATGATACATCATCTTCGATACCCTTAGTGTTTATATTAAGTCCTGGGTCCGACCCATTCAACTCATTTCAGAAATTCGCATTGGAATATGGCATAGGAGAAAATTTTCAATCAATATCGCTGGGGCAAGGACAAGGACCAATTGCAGAAAAATTAATTATGGACGGAAAAGATCAAGGAAATTGGGTATTCTTACAAGTAAGATTTACTCATTAGATCAAGACTCTTGAATAAAATCGTGTTTATTTCACAGAATTGTCATTTAGCATTATCGTGGATGTTGCGTTTAGAAACTTTAGTCCAAGAACTTATCGAAAACCCAACATCCGTTAGATCAGACTTTAGATTGTTTCTGAGCTCTATGCCTTCAAAGACATTTCCAACTTATGTTTTACAAAATTCATTAAAAGTTACAAATGAGGCCCCAAAAGGTTTAAAAGCAAATATGAAAAGATCATTTTTTGAAATGAATGTGGATTTTTTTGAAGACAATGGTAATTATTATAAGTAACTAAATTTGCACAAACTATTGAAAATTCTTTACCTATTAAATATTTATACGATTCCAGCTTTCGGTTCTGAATGGAGAAAAATGGTATTTGGGTTATGTTTTTTCCATTCGATTATATTAGAAAGGAGGAAGTTCGGCTCGCTTGGTTGGAACATTTTATACGCATTTACGGACAGTGATCGAGAATGCGCGATGCACCAATTGGAAATGTACTGTTTAGCTTCCAATACAATTCCTTGGAGTGCTTTGTCATATATTACTGGAGAAATTACATATGGCGGAAGAGTCACTGACTTTTGGGATCAAAGAACTTTAAGAAACGTTTTATGGAATTTTTTCGCCCCACACACGATGGAACTAAGTACCTAAAATGTTTTTACAAATGGTTGATTCGACAAATTAATTAAATATTGTATGTGTTTAGATTATAAGTATTCAAAATCGGGCACTTACTATTGTCCCGAATCACCAAATTGCAAGACTCTAGAGGATTATCAACAATTTATTAATCAATTACCCGTAATAGAAGGACCAGAAGTGTTCGGAATGCATGAAAACGCGAATATTGCTTTTCAAGTAAATTCAAATTAACTTTAAATTACATGGTTTAAATATAAATCAATAATGTTTTACTCAGACTAAAGAAACACAAGGTATTTTGCAAACAATCATAGAAGGGTATCCGAAATCATCTGGTGGTTCTGCTGAGAATTCAGATGACATTGTTGCAAATATGGCAAATGATATATCCGAGAGGCTAATGAAATTTATAGATGTCGAACAAGCTAATTTCTTGATAGTGCAATTAGATAATAAGGGTAGACTACCATCACTATCCACAGTTTTAATACAAGAAGTCGAACGTTTTAATAAACTACTAGATATTATACACATATCACTAAATGACCTACGAAAAGCTATTAAAGGTTTAGTAGTTATGTCTTCCGAGTTGGAGGGTGTTTATGTATCATTTTTAAGTAATACAGTAAGTGTATTATTGATTTACGTTAAATAACTACGTCTATAGTAAAATTATCCATTAATTTATTACAGATACCGAAAATCTGGTCACAGAAGGCTTACCCATCATTGAAATCATTAGGCAGCTGGGTTAAAGACTTGGTCATGAGATTAGATTTTATCGACGTATGTAGTATTTTGTTATTACATAATATTAAATATAAGTTAAATACTTTTTAGATTCGATGCAATGATAGGTTTTTGTACGCATGTGTGCAAAAAAAGGTAGGCAAACAAGTATAAGCGATACTACATACTTCGCTCGAAGTTCTAAGATGATAAAGAATGCGCAGGGTTGCGAGGCCCAAGGGCAACATTTGTTTTTGTTTTTTAATATATTTTATAACCTTATATTCTTATCGTGAAATTACTTACAGTTAATTCATTAATAATATTTTCTATATTTTGGTTAGTTTTTATTGATCCTTCTTTTTCAAAAATGTTGGAATCAGTAGTTAAAAGTAACGATAATTTAAATCATAAACATATTTTAACTATTATAATGAATACTGGAACGGAAGTAATTATAATTTGTAAAGTAAAATCATCTAACTCAAATATGAAATTTATTAATAATGATTTCTTAATATTTTGTATAAAAAAACTAGACACTGGGTTTCGCAAGGGGCGCTTCCGCCCTTCTCCACTTTCCGTCTTCCTTATCATTATCGCTCTTCTAGGGGAGTATTCGAAAACATTGTATATGCGTTTGCTTATGCCTACCTACTTTCCTTACGCTCACATATGTATTGCATACAGCGGACAGGACGCATTTTATATTTCCTCAATATCAATAGTTATAACCTACTTAATTTAAACCTAATTTTCTGTGCATCATGTTATAGCACATGTGGGAGTCTCCTTTAGCTAGCAGGGCTCAGTTTTTCAGATTACTGGTTAAGCATAAGTGGTTTTTTTAAGTGACAAAGCTATATAACTTAAAAAATTAAGTTTTTTTCATGGTTTACTTTCATTGCTCAACATAAAAATATTTTGTTTCATTTTGAAAAATACGATAAAGAACAAAAATGTTGTAGATTTGGCTTAAATTTGGAAGTCCACTTTCATACTGGATATCCGGCTTATATTTTCCACAAGGGTTCATGACTGGTTGTCTTCAGAGACATTCCAGAAAATACAGTATACCGATTGATAGTTTAAAAGTTGATTTCGAACTCAGCAATATTGTTTTGAATCAAGAAGAAATTACAGCTATTCATACCCTTACATCCAAAGAAGATTATGAAGCATACAAAGGGTTGAAAGCATTAAAAGACGGGGTATACGTTCATGGATTATTTCTGGATGCTGGTCGAGTCGACTTAAACGCCAGACTTTTAGTCGACCCAAATCCTGGTACCTACCTGCATAATCGATAATGAAACGTCAACAATTATATTATGAACATGTTTTTGTTCAGGTGAACTTTATCCGCCACTTCCTGTTATGCGTCTAGTACCGACCGTGGAATTGGATGAAATTAGTTTGCGTTATCATTGTCCCCTATACAAAACTGCTATCCGGGCAGGTGTTCTTTCAACTACGGGACATAGTACAAATTTCGTAGTTGTTGTTCTATTGCCTACCGAATATCCTGAGAGCTATTGGATACAGAAAGGAACAGCTCTAATCACGCAGATCACGAATTAAATGTACATTTTATATTGATGACTAGATTTTTCAGTATTACTTTTGCAACATTATTATTCTAAACTTTTTTTTTCTTTGTTATTCGTGTTTATATGTTAATTAAAAAAATGACTCATTTGTTTACATTGTAATGAGAATAATATTCTAACTTTTAGAATAAGGTATAATTAAACGTGATGAGCAAAAATTATCAGTCTAAAATTTAAGCACAAACTTGAATTTGACTACCACAAACTCGCCGGGAACTAATATCGTTATGTGTGTCTTGTGAGCCATTTAGGTTGTCGGCGACCTAAATTGAATTATTCATCTCGAGTCACGTAGGATATATGGAGTCAATAAAGTTTCCTTCCCTTTTTTGTTTCCTTGTGAAATTCGTTGAACATTTCTTAATGAATACCCCACATGCCTCCGCGGTAACATTTTGAGTTATAGTAAAACCGATTTTTTGAACGTTCGGAACAAATAATAATTTATAAAAAAAATTATAATAATTTTGAACTATAGATTTTGTTTGACGCCGATGTTCAATTTGTTTTATCTTGCTCCTCTTCACCGGTGTTAAAGAATTAAATGCAAGAGCCGCACTTGTTGACGGCACACATGGTTGATCATCACCAAATGGATCACTTATTTTTGTTGAATATTATACACACAAGATAATGTTAATTTTTGTCAAACGTACTCTGGAATCTCAGGAAAAATGAAATATACTAGTCACAAACAAGTTATGTTACGTAAATTCAATCTTGCTCTTAGGGCTAAAAAAATAATACACACAAAAACTTCCCTTTTATAACTAAAATTTTTTAAAAAAATTAGAAACATTTTTTCTTTAATAATCAAACAAATGTAGGTACTAATAAATAATGAAACATTTAAAAATCTTTACAAAGTTCATGGCAGTTAATTAGTCACAGTTAATTAATCACATTTAGGTAAACATTTATAACAAAAATTCCAGCCTCCTTTTCTTATTGTTTGATAGTTCAACAAGTATTTCATCAGGGGTAATAATAATAATTTTCGTTTATTGACAGCATAGTTAGGCCATTAAGTCTTCCCTATTGAAACAAATTACAACATTGGGGCAATTTGATTATAATAAATAATTTTAATTAATTATACCTAACTCAGAAGTTAGTAAGTAGGTTTTTATTCCCTTTAAAGTGGAAAATGTTCGTTCATTAGTGGCAGAAAACACCCGTAGAGCTGCTAATATGTTAAGTAACTTTTAAAACATTTGGGTACATAGCTTTATTACATATGTAAATAGCGTCGATTGCATCTTTCGGTTTATCCTTTTCTAATAGTTTTTAATTTTCGTTGCCTAAGTTTAAACTCGTTATTAAATACCTTATCGCAATTTCTAATATTCTCCATATCTTCACTATACTGTTCTGTAAGAGTTATAAAATCGTCTTTATAACCACTCTCACTAAATAAGGAAAGGAAATTTGTTAATATATTATGGTGATTTTTAATCCTTCTTCCAATAAAATAATGAAATGTCTATGTATGGAATAAACACTGATACCTACTCGATAAAATATTTTTTGATTGTCTGTGTGAACGTTACACCTGTTAGTTTGTTTTTGATATTTTTGTCATTTTTATCTCAATGTCCCTTTTCTCAGTCAAATATTTGATCTGTTCAAAAAAATCTCCAAAATGTTTTTCTGTATTCGATATAATCTCTTCAAGTTCTTCATTAGTATTTTGTGCCAAAGACATAGCTTCTTTGAGATCTATACTGGTTTAGTCCATAGTCAACTTCTTTTTGGTGATTTTTTAGATGTTGTTTTCAACGAGTTTTCTATTTTCTTATTTAAAATTGACTTCTTCTTTGGATAAGTAAAAGAATACGTAAATACTGATTGTGAGTATATTAATAGGTACCAAATTTTTATTTGTTTACTAAGCATATTAGTAACTGTAAAGCTTAGCATTAGTAGTATATAATTATTAGTAGTAACCTAACCTAACCTAACCTAACCTTAGTAGTATATTTCGAAGTTCTCGTTATAAATCCTGATTTCGAAGTTTACATTATAAATTCAGATTTTGGAATTTTCGTTATAAACCGTAGATTGGATTTTAATTTTTTAACAATAATAAATTACTTATATTAGTTAATTATTTAATATTATGTACAACGCGTTTATGTAGTGTACACAAAAATATTTAATTATTTAATTGGTAAATTAGGTATCTCTTATTATAGTTTAAGAACATTATGTATAAACACGATTTACAAGTCTCAATGACACTTTTATAATAGATTAGAACAATAAGTTGTAATAATATGAAAATTACACAACACAAAAAAAAAAATATAAATAAAGAAGGAATTTATAATATAAATAAGGAAAAATAAAAATATAATAATAACTTAATCTGGAATTTTGTATGTCTTAAATCTAAATAAATAATAATAATACTTTTTGATATAAATAATTAAGCAGTAGAACCAATTACAAAATATTCAAGGAGTTTGTTTAAAAACACTAACGCATTTAAATGACATGGTGTCATTTTATTGCGCTTTGGTGTCAATATACCTCCAGCAGTTGAAAAAACTCGTTCGGACGATGCCGAAGATGCTGGAATACATACAAATATTTTTCGCAAGAACCGATAAATTTGGGTGTATAGTTTCCTGAGACTTCCACCACACACATGGATTATTATTGTGGTTAATTTGGGGTTCTGACAAGTACCTATTAAACTCATCCTCGTCGTTATCAGAAAATTGCCCTAAAAGTTCATCTAGTATTTTTCGGTTTCCAGTTTGGTTTACTCTATTGTTGTTAAAGTAAGTGTTTGTAGCTTTGCTTTTACAACAGCTTTAACGCGAGATTTCACACGTTCAGATTATTTAAACTTTAAGTTCTTATACCGTGGATCTAGAAGACTAGCTATTTGAGAAATACTCACTGGTATACTACTTTCATCTATGTTAACATCATCAACTTCAATTAAAAAACGGATGTTCTAATCGTTTGATACCTTCCTTTTTTAAATGATGTGGCAAGTGTGCAGTCAGACTTATCATATTTTAGATGTGTGTTAAGCATGCTTGAAATAATTGGCTTAATCTAAAAATTAAAAAACAATATTTTATAGTTAAAAAAAAAAATGTTACATTAATGATTTATATTATTTTTTCGTGTTATCAGGTATAACTTTAATATTTACCATTGATATTATAATTTGGTGTTCAGAACACAATATTGTAGTGGCAAGTTGGAAAGGCTTTAGTAATTTAACGAGAACGTCGCATTTTACCCAGTCTTTTAAAATTTCCAATTTTCTTGCTGTTTTAATATTAAATAGTGTACGATTTGATAATATTGCTACAACAGCACTACGTAATGTTAATAATATTCAACAAAGTCCAAATTCATTGAGTTAAGTATTATGAAATGTTTGTGTCACACACAAATATTGAACCAAAATTAAAATACAAAAGAACTTACAGTATAAAACATTATCTGATAAATTTATTAAATCTAATGGTGCAAGGAGCATCAGTCACCCGAATTTTTATAGGCACATAGATCGTTTCTGATCTGACAGATAGCTAGACACGCTACAGTTAATCAGTTAGCTTGGAAAATATTTTCTTTAACCTAGGTATGAATTCTGATAGCTAGATATAGGTACAATTAATTTTAACGACATTATTTTAAGTCACCCGTTTCGGAACCGCTGTGCACTGACTTCCACATACCGTGGCCAGTGTGTAAGATCAGAAGATTAATTCGACCAGTATCTAGACTTATAATTTAGGTACTTTAGGTACTACGTTTGGAAAAGTTTTGTTATACCAGAGGGGCATTCCACGTGAAATCACCTAATGGGTGTGCGACTATACTTCAAAAATGTTATGAAATTTTTATCATACATTCTTTATAAGTCCTTAATAACAAACAATTTTGTTTGGACCTAGGTAGTTAATTTAAAAAAAAAATTATCCGAAAACACCTCATGTTCCCGACTGTGTAATTTAACCGCCGATAGACATGAAACCTGCACAGTCAAAATTCTAATTAAGTGTACTTTAACCATTTTTCAAAAACTTTTTTCGAGGTCAAAAAGTTAAAAAGTGAAATTAAATATTTTGTTACTATAAAATTTAAGTTATGTTCTTATGACCCATATCATCTTCGAACCAATTAAATTTTTTTTTTGCTATTAATTTACGGCTTCAAATATGGGTATTTTGCTGAAAACTGCCTACTTTAATGACCCACAACATAAATGTGACAGAACGAAAATTTTCCAAATTCATGCAATACTTACTTATAAGTGAGTAGAACATCTGGTAAAAGTTTAGTGATGGAGAAATTATTTTAACACCAGTTATAAGGTTTCAATTTTTTTTTTTCAATTTTTAAAAAACTTTTTTTGAGGTTAAATGTATTAATTAAAATATATTTACAACTTTTGTGTCTATAGAATTTGAAAATATTTTGTATTTCATAGTTTTTTCGTTTTCTGGTACAAAACAATGGTGTTGCCTGATTAGTGGGACATCGTTTGGTTTTCCTATACCGGTCTTCTAATTTGACTTCTTGTTTAACAACATTATTTGTTGTTATAAATCAAAATTTAATATCATTAATATTTAATTCACAGAAGTCGAACATCATTTTCGGTATTAAAATTTGATTATTTGTAATTCTTTGTAAACTGGTCTTATGAACTAATCTTTTAACCGTACCACCTATACTGTCACATGGACTCTTCCCGTGTGCGGTCGCGAAAAAATTCCATTCGGCCTCTAATCCAAAATCGGCTTTATGACTACAAAGATTAGCCATATTTTTATAATTTTTATATTGGCTTCTAGCCCCATCAGAAAATTAATGTATTTTAGTTAAATTTGGCAAAGTTATTTTTATTTTTTTACTCAATTCTGATTGATACACATAAACCGAAATTGAATTGTGTATCAAATGGCCACTAATAATACAAAAACTTTTTGATTGTAATAT